TACATGTGAGCAGGATCTGGAAGAGCATCCAAACTACTCGTTAGTATTGCTCACTCAAATCCTGTGAGGATAGCTCAAACCGACTGAGTTATTCGAGGAAGAGATTCCACCTTCCCTGTCACCCAGTTCGAAAAGTAGCCATAGGGGCTCCAACGATAACAAGAGCTCGATTATAAGAGTAAAGGAGGTAACTTCTCATCAAGGATCAAAATATCGTTTTGGTGTATTGTTTTGATCACCTAGGAAACGGAAACGTTTTGACGTGTTTCGAAAACGTTTTGACATGTTTCAAAAACGTTTCAACCCGTTTCGGAAACATAATGAAAAAAATAAAAAATTTAAGAATTATTTTTCTAAAACATTGATGGAAATATATCAAAGTATTTTGAAATATCTTGAGACATTCCAAAATAATTGTGCAAATGCATTGAAATATTATAATATATTTAAAAATATTATGGAATATTTCGAAATATAAGAATTTCGATTACATCACTGTTTTGTTTCAATCTCCTTGGAAACAGAAACATTTCGGACGTTTCGATCGTTTCGAAACGATATTTTGATCCTTGCTTCCCATCAGGTAAGTAATTCCTCCTAACTGAATACACTTCCATAATCCAATTCTCTTCACCGACTTAATCATCAGAGGGTCGACCACCAGAACCACCCTACGGTCCTCGACTTTTGTGCAGGAATACACCGGTGATTGCCACCTCATCAAATACCTCTCCGAGCTATTTTGAGGATCAATAGTTGGTGCCGTCTATGGGAACAACTTAAAGTTCCAGCAACAAAGAAATTCGAAATCCTAATGGCAATTATGAGAGCATCTAAAGCACTTGTAGTTGAGCAAACACAGGAACATCCTAACTCTCATCCAGTGGGACGAAGGAACATTCACCCGCCAGAAAAGGATGCAGCAAAGGCTAAGAGGCTGGAGAAGGCAATTGAAGATTTGAAAAAACAAAAATAGCAAATTCTCCAGCTCCTAAAGCAATCTCAAACTAAGGAGCATGCGACAGATAATCAGGAAGGTGAGCGGAGTGACAACAAGGTAACCCAAAAAGATGATTGATGGGAAAGAAAATTCAGAGAATTCAACGAGAAGCTGGGGACTGTTATGAACAGAATAAAGGCCTGAGCTCCAAAAGCTATCAAGGCTTTGGTGCATCATACCAAATCCCCATTTTCTCCGGATATGTCAAAGTATCCTCTCCCAGAGAGGTTTAAAATGCCGACCATCGAGGCATTCAACGGGACAAAAGATCCATTGGATCATCTTGAGACCAAAGTTGTTAGTATCGTACGATACGCGATACGTATCGTACGATACGTTACGATACAGCCCTAAAACGATACGGATCGTAGTTATGTATCGTTTTTGCGTTGTATCGTCCGATACACGATACGTTTTTACGATACGATACGTATCGGTACGAAACGCACGATACGTGCA